GGGTTTAAGACCCAGACCTGGCAGCTTGATGGCTCACCCTCCGTCCCCCCCTCCTCCCTCTCTCTCTATTGCTCTCACGGTCCTTCTTTCTTTTTAAGTAAATTAAGTTAAATAAAGTAGGAAGGACATTTGGAGGAGGGATATGGAGGTAGAGCATTGTGGGATAGGGAGGTGTGGCGTTATCAGTTGAAGATATTTTGATCAATGGGACTGGGGAGAAATGTTCACATATTGAAATGTTCACATTGTAAGCTAAACAATGCAATTGAATGTATATTTAAAAATTTTAAAAATGAGAAAAAAACAATTATTTAAAATAAATAAAACTCATGCCAGGTGTGTGCGCATACATGCCCAAAATCCTAAGAGGGGAAGGGATTGTGGCGTGGCTATCTCCCCTAGGCAGTGATTTCTTTCTTTCCGTGTCTCTGTCAGTCTCTCTCCAGCAAGCTCACATACCCTATGGCAAAAATCTCTTTAAAAGAAAAAAAAAAGTAGCACTGGGATCTGGCACCCAGATTTGATTTTTATCCTGACAGTTTACAAAATGTTCCTCAATATGATTTGTATCATTAGAGTTATTGGGTCCATTCACAATGACAAATGTGTTATCTACTCCTTTCTCCTTTTGCCTTCATGCTCATGTTCCTCGAGATGGATTTTTAGAACCACTATGCAAAAATATGGAACGCTTCATGAATTTGTGGGTCACCCATGAGGAGGGGCCATGCTAATCTCTACAATTTTAGTATATGTGCTGCCAAAAAGTACACTTAATTATTTTTAATTGACAATAATTTTACAGATGAGGAAACTGAAGCTCAGATCAATTAGTTACCCAAAGTACTAAGTCATCGAGAAAGTCATGACATCTTTTTCTATGCAAAAAATGCATCATGACTTTCCTGACGACCCAATACATAGACATTAAGCAAAGGCAAAATCAGACTTTGAACACGCACAAGCTAATTCTGGTTTTTTTGTTTTAATGTTTTGGTCATAGGAAGCATGTACTTACTGGAGAAAGAGAAAAAGGGAAAGTAAGAAATCACCCCTCAGGAGTAATAACCGTCCCACAATCCCTTTTCTTCCATTCTCCTCCTCGGACTTTGGGCACACATACACACACACCTGGTGTGATTTTCAAGCCACTAGCCAGGGTACTTGAACTGTGGTTGGCCACGTGAGGGTCCAGTTCCTTAAGCTCTATGCCACCTGCTGGCTCCTGGTTTTTGTGGTAGCACATATGCCCATGTGTGGAGCAGGGGCACCCTTGGCAGGGTCTTGTCACACAGCAGTCCTCAGTTCCTCAGGATTGTGGGCCCCAGTGCATGTGCCCAGCATGTCTTTCAGGCTGATGCAGGGATGCAAACCTAGTCAGAATGTGGCTTCCAGCAGTGCAGTTCAGTATGCTACAGACTATACCACAAAGCCTGGGCCTAATCTAGTTTTTGAGTTCTTACCACTCCACTGTGGCTTACCTCAATATCTTTGAGGGCATCAGTAAAGAGCAGGTGGTGAACACAGTGGCCTTCTAGTCTTTGACAGGGATTGCTCACTCCATAGTTCACTGCTCTACAAGAACATAAAGCCTTTTAAAGTCACATTTTCAAATTCTGCCATATTTATGAGTAACAAATATTTATATTTAGTTTAACATAAAAGCTTTATTTCTAAATATATACCTGGTTAGCTCTTAACAACCAACCATATATGAAGCTAAATTCCAGTGCTACTTTATCACCCCATGTGCTACTTAAACATGGCAATTATTTTATTGTAATTATCTACAGCCATCTAGTTAAGGGACTAGGTACCCAGGAAAATTTACTTCATTTGTCTTCCATACAACTTCCTTTTCCTAACCTAATACAAAAAAAAAAAAAACACTACTCCCTTGGGAAGGCCAGCACTAGAAGAGAAATATTTCTGGCTAGCTGGCTGAAAGATCTTAGTTCTGTCATAAATGGTAGGTGGTTAGTGACAGGGATTTGTAGATGGGCCTGGGAATCCAACTGCCATTTATGAACTTTTCTACATCAGAGTTTTTTGTTTTAAGTTTATTTCTTCCATGGGAGAGACAGACACTTTAACAGAGTCTTCATGCCATGATCCATCCTTAGCCTCTGTGGGGAGCCAAAGAGGAGACGTGAGGAACGTGTAGGACATGACCACCAGAATAAGACCAGGGTCTTTATCCGTACATGGCCTTAGGTGGCTGGATTGTTCAGAGCAGAATGTCTTGGGATTGTTTTGAACTAAATGTTCCAAAGTATTGTTGTAACAACCTGATAATTCAGTAAGGACTTAAAACCTTCTATCACAGAAGTCTCTGGAGTGTGTATAAATATCAGCAATAAACTTAACTAGTGGCTGACCAGTACTGACTGGCAGTCCTCCCATTTCTATCCTATCTTGTCTTTCTTTAATTCTCGCCCCCTCACCCCCAAACTCAAGAACTGTTCGCCGTCGGTGGGTCCAACAGCCTCAGCCTGTCCAGATGCTCCGAGCATAATCAGGGAAGTCCCAGGATACAACCCTAGGACTTTTTCCATGCGGGTCCAGTTGCATCATCACTATGCTACCAACTGGCCTCGTCAGCAACGTATATTCTGAATACTGAGAAACCAACCAGTCTATTAGTAAAGACTTCTACGATGTTGATGTTTAAACAATTATATGCTAATCTTAGGGCCAACAGATGGTATGGTGATTAAAGGCACTGCTGGCTGACTGCGGTTCAAGTCCCGGACTTAAAGGCTTGCTTTCTCAATTTCCCTCTCACTCTCACTCTCTGTCTCTCTTACAAAATATTAAAATAATAATAATAAAGTTAACTAATTCTTTAAAAAAAGACTTTAGAAAGTTATGTGCTGTTTTTATCGGTACATCCAAAAATCCTATTCTCAGATTTCTTTTTTTCTAGTTTAAGATGTACAAATATTGGGGACCAGCAGGTGGCATGGTGGTTAAGGTGCTGGACACTTCCACATGGCCGACCATGGTTCAACTCCTGGACCCGGTGGCTTGCTTTCTCACTTCCTCTCTCTCTCTATCTATCTCTGGTCAAAATAAAATAAATGAATGGATAAATAAAAATAAATATTTTTTTTAATGTACAAATATTTTTTCTTTTTTTTTTTTTAAGGTTTTTGTTACATGGTATGTGCGCTTGCTGGAGAGAGAAGGAAAGTGAGAAACCCCCCCCCCCCCCAGGGAGGATGGCCACGTGACAATCCCCTCTATTCTCTTCTCGGTATTTTTGGGTATACACACACATACACCCATTGTGACTTTCAAACCACCAGGCCTGAGACTTGAACTGTAGTCAGCCATGTGAGAGTCCAGCACCTTAGTCACCATGTCACCTGCTGGTCCCAGAAGTACAAATATTTTACTTACAGAATGTACAAAATATACTCGTGGAATGAACCTTTTTTTTTTTTTGAGAGGTTTTCACTATAGGGTGCATGCACTCACCAGAAAGCGAGAAATCACTCCCCGGGGGGGGGGCAGGGGGGATGGCCACACTGCAATCACTCTCCTCCATTCCCCTCTTGTGGTCT